GTTTACCAGCGACAACTACTACGATTTCTATGTATATAGGTGGACTCATTCAACAGGGATCCAGTGTTGCGATTTTAGATGCAAGTTTTTATTCAATAAAATGGTTTCATGACTTTAATTTCAAACATAATCCTTGTTCAGACAAATTCCTTGGTCTTATTTATGAAGGAGGAAGGAGATTGCTAAGTAAACCTATAAAAAAAAAATAAAAAAATTACGCCAGATAATTCTGATAGCTATAATTTCAGAGCACTGTCTTTTATGAAATCGAAAGATGTTTATAAATTATGTAATATAAATAGTCCATTGTCCTATACCAGAGCGAGAGAAATTTTGTAAGAGAGTTTATCAGATATTGGTTTAGATAAGCTTAAGTTTGGGCTTCATAGTTTGAGAAGTGGTGGCGCTTCTACGGGGGCTAAAAGAGGAGTCTCTGATAGGTTACTTAAAGTCCACGGTAGATGGGCTTCTGATAAAGCCAAAGATGGGTATATTAAAGACAATTTAAAATCTCAAATGGCTGTTTCCTTGAATCTTGGCATATAGTTCTCAAATTATTTATTCCTTTGTTTTATCGAAGTTACTGCGAGCAAACAAACCTAAATTATGACTTGTCTCTTATTTAGCCATGTATTTAGAATAGAAATGTTTTAAATTCGGACGAATTCATGAGGGAGAATTTAAATTTATTTCTATTCCGTTATATTTGGAATTTCCCTATTCTATTTCTATCTTTAGACTTGTGGTACAAGTTTGGCTAGTATGTAAATCAGAAGTGGTCTGATGTTACTGTTGTTTTCTGCAAGAACATTTCGAGGGCGGTAGTACGGGTGGGGTTTTATAGGCATATATAAGTCCTGATTACGTTTGATTATTATCGATGTGCTCCAGTAACTTTGATAGACGAAGTTAACGTTAAGCTCTGCATAATATATTACAGTTATGTTTGTATTGATATGTATTTAGAGGACATTGTGAATGTATATAGATGGAATTGTGGTATATTTTTGTAATTTGTAAAATGTTTACAAGATATTAAATGTTGTTTCGCTGAGAAAATAAGAAAGTTACTGCGAGCAAACAAACCTAAATTATGACTTGTCTCTTATTTAGCCATGTATTTAGAATAGAAATGTTTTAAATTCGGACGAATTCATGAGGGAGAATTTAATAGCAAATGATGTTTGTATAAAAAAAAATTGTACGAAATGATTTTCAATGAGAAAACTATCCACCAGAGACTAAAATGAATACTTAAAGTAACCGAAAGTTAGTTCAAAACCAAATACAACTAAGATATCAAACAGTACACATGCAATGGATTTAGTATAAATACACATAAACAGTCTGAGGAACCCACGACCTTGTACATTGCCAAAGTATTGACAGGATGTAGGATAGTAAGTGTTCATAACTGTATAGCGATGCATATGTAATCATATTTTAGTATTTTAATAAGAAAATCAATGTAAGTACCGATTAGACAATATTCAAAGATCTTACTACAATTGTATTGCAGTTGAGTACTATGTCAGAAAATGTATAGAGCGCGACCCAGATGAACCAAAACTGGACACTTTGTCTGAATGGATCAAATCTGTTTGGCCATGCATTCAGAAGCTGATTTAAATTCTACGATGTAGATCACGGGTTTTTGATTCTTTCAAGAAGTCTGAAGTTGTGGATCCTTTATCCTCCCTTCACGACAAAATTTCAAACAATAATGTTTTTATATGATAAGATTGTTATTTGGAATATTCTCACTGAAGAGCTTGATATTCACAGCAAAACTGGGAATCCTATATATACACGGACATCATTGAGGAATGAGGATATTTTAGAACGTCACAAATCCGCCCTTATCTCATTTGGTATTAACTTAAAAAAAGACGATTTAAATATCCCATTTTTATACTGGATACCTTTACATCACCAACATCCTTATAAAGAACGATATATAGCCGGGTCGTCGAGATGCTCGACTAAACATCTTTCTAAAGTTCTATCACAACTCTTTCTACAGTAAAAGATGGCATTCAGAAATATTTTGAAGGGGTTTATTCAACCAGCGGCGTCAATCAGGTGTGGATTATTATATAGATATAAGAAGATGTGGTATGAGTGCCAATGAGACAACTCTCCATCCAAGTCAAAATTTATAAAAGTAAACCATTATAGGTCACAGTACGGTCTTCAACACGGAGCCTTGGCTCACACCGAACAGTAAGCTATAAAGGGCCCCAAAAATTACTAATGTAAAACCATTCAAACCGGAAAAACCAACGGTCTAATCTATATAAAAAACGAGAAACGAGGAACACTTATATATGAACCACATCAACAAACGACAACTACTGAACATCAGATTCCTATTATACATTCTAAAGATCATTTTCTTTGCTTTAAACTACAGTAACTACTACACATGTTTAATTGAAAGATCTACTACATTGTCTCATTAAATAGTGCTCTTTTTGTTTTTACAAGTTAAGATACAAATGCTTTGTTTTATGTCATGAAAAATCTTGCTTTGTGAATATCCACACAGATTCCCACCACAAATACATCGACGATGGTATCATTTAAATGGTGGACTTTTTGATGACAATATATATGTTCAGTATGGTGGATTACTATTTCAGCTGAAATTCGGCATTCCAATGGGTCTTAATAGTGCATCACTACTGACCTACATGTGTTTGTACTCATATGAAGCAGAGTTCACAGAGAACCTTATCAAAGACAAACAGAAAAAGCATCTTTCAAAGTTCTTTAACTTCACTTTGAGATATACTGATGATGTCACTCAATAGCCCTCATTTTAATGAGTTCTTACATTTCATATATCCCAGTGAACTTGAGATTAAGGATAATACCGAAAGTAGAAGATCAGCTTTATATCTTTATCTGTTTCTCGATGATGACACATACGGATGACTTCAGGCTAGAATCTATGACAAACATGAGGATTTCAACTTTCCAATTACCATCTTACCATTTCTCAGTAGCAACATACCCTCTGCTCAAGCATATGACATTTATATATCTCAGTTTATACGTTACACTGGTGAATGTTCACACCATACGGAATTCATCAACCAGAGTGTGCTACGTACACAAAATCTGATCCAAAAGAGCTACGAGGAAGAACGACTGAAATTGACACTACATAAGTTTTACGAAAACCATTAAGAATTGGTTGATTGATACGATGTATCGGTGTCTCCACTCACTAACGATATGTTTTCACTGTGTTAGATCTTTAGATACCAATAAAGTCGTCTATTCTGTAATTTTCCCCAACTGTGACATTTTGCCATGGTGTGGATTCGCATGGCGGGTGACGCATGCGTGTTCGAGACGATTACTCTATTTACGCACCCAGTCTCGATCCTTTAGAGTATATGCAATTCCCCCAGCTTCTGTTTCTTACCTTGATTTGTTTCTTCTTAATTAATTTACGAGATTTGGTCATTGATAAGCTACTGTTGCCTTAATCTTAATTAATAACCTTTTAGGATATGTTTATTGAAAAAGAATCGATATGTTTACATTGATTATATCTAAAACGGGGTCTTTAACCAGCATTACGATGCATTTTCGTAAGATAAGTTTCTCTTTCATATTTTTATGAAGAATAGCAAGGAGCTGTACTATTTTAGCTGTGGGTTAGCTTTTGACTGAAGCCACCACGCCAGTAGGCAGAGAGAACGTAAACATAGTCGGTTGTTGAAAAAACGCATTTGTCAAGAAAGTTTGAGACGGAAAAACAAACAGGGGAATAAACTGGCGCTTTCCGATTTCAATTGAAGTCACCTTTTATTATCACAATCAGCCTAAAATCAGATATGTTCATGCCAGGTCAAATTTTTGGGACAACTAATTAGATTTTTAACATCTGCATTCTTACTAAAAAAGACATAACAGTGTCGACGTAATAAACTATTCTAACGAGATAACTTCTATCAGCATCAATCAAAGATTAAAATGATTCTAAATTTGAAGACCTTGATTTGAGGGAAACATGTCGTGTCACAGTGCAAATTATGTCTTGGTGATCGTTACATTTTGTGTTCAGTATATATTACTTCCCTTTTACTACTGACGTATCATTTTATATCCGGACAATTCAAGCAGATATTTGTCTGTTAGAATTTATTAAAAATTACCTCAAACCATCCCTCCATCCCCCCAAAAAAAATTGAACAAAAAAGGTTGTATATTTTTCTTTTGATGGTTTTTCGTTCCATTTGTCCCTGTATTGTCAGTTCGTTTTCGACGTATGAGTTTGAATACCGCTTTGGTATCTTTCATCTCTCTTTGTGGATGTAGAAAGTAATCAGATTTCATCTTTTCAATGTAAAAAGAGTCGAAAGTTTTTAAATTTTAGAAAGTATATCGTGTTCGCGATTTATTTTTTGAGACCTGGTGATATGCTGGCACCTAAAGACCTACATTACTAGTTTTGTGTAGCCATGACATACGCAATTTAGTTCCCACTTATAGATACACATATCGTATCGAGATTATAAAAATAAAAATGCACTAACTGACTTCCGTAAAAATTTTCACAACCAATACACGCAATTGTAAGGTAAGTCAAAAATATGTTTTAACCATAATATTGTTGGGGTTTGTTTTTTTCCTGAAATATTCATTTTACTTGGTCATGTTGGTAGACCAGATACTTCAATTGATATGCATGATCCTTACATAGACTGAAACTGTACACTATGAAAACCCTACTTCTTGTTTCATTCATATTAAAAAAACAATATGTGTTCTTTCTTTCTTTCAAGTAACGTAATTCGATTGAATTGGCAATAGTAGATTTTGATATCTACCCATGCATGTACATGATGTAGGTGCCTATGTTCAGTTTTATATTACATGATATTAATCCAACTTATATGTGATTTAGTAAATTATACAGTCTAGTTTGTAGTAATTAAAAGCACATGAAACTTACACAGATAAAGATTACATGAAGTATACAAGAATACAAAATAATTTAGCTTTTGACAGGAAGGAATATACGAAATTTTATGATATTTCACGCAATGGAAAACATATGAATAATACTGAGTTATATGAGTGATATAAAACGTTAAAACTTTATGTTGTAAACATGTTGAAATACCGAACTTAATACTAACGTCCTTGTGTGTATTGAAAAGGCGGAACACTTTATTATAATCTTTTGCAATGAATATAACTAATAAGGTATGTCTTTATATTTATAAAATTTTGATAATTGTGGGAAAAGGGGGAGGGGGGGGGGGGGGGGGGATGAAGCAAGGAACATACACATTAAAAAAAAGCCAAGATTATAAAAGTGCAACAAAATATGTAAATAATATATATTTTATGTATTGCACTTGTTGGCTAAAATCAATAAGACTGGAATACAGCATTACATCGTTAGCAACAGCAAATATCTGAAGGCCAGACAAGCATACAAACCACACAGTAAGCTTCAAATTACACAGACATTTGGCCATTATGACCACAGAGACTACTGCATTGAAAATTGTATATGTATAATATGTATAAAACTTTGTGGTGCGGTTCAACTAGTTGGAGTTCTCCTCCCGCTCGTATTATCGTTTTCACCGAAGATAAAATAGTGATAAAATTGCCCATAACAATACACGCCTAAGGAAAATATCTTTATTTTATTGCAGCATGAAATACTAGTACTTCGAAATACAAATTATCGAAGTACTAAGGTTTGTTAGGAATATAGTATTGCTTTTAAAATTGATTAAATTTAATTAATATAAATACGCTTACAGGCAGTTGGTCATGTTGGTATTGTAATGGCCTTTGATTGGCTCCCCTACCAGCATACCTTTTTTGAGCCCATATATAAACTAATGTATGCTTATATGGCTTTCAAACTAACCTTGTATAAAAAAAAAAACCAGTTTCTTTCTATATTGTCAAAACTCTTGATGTTTAATTCAAACATATGGCAATATCATAACTGTTTCATTTCGAGGAATACTCATTTACAATTAAGACATTAATGCACCCGTTTATAAAACAACCAATTTAAATTCACGTCGTCTTTTGAATAGACTTTGATTTACAAACCTCGTGTATATAATTGAAGTAATTAGCTATTGTAAACACTACAATAATGTTCATTGTTAGAACGCATTCGATTGTTGATTTATAATATGAAATAATATGATACCGAAGATTTATTGTTACTTCTTAAATGCACTATATAGTTTCTTTCAGTAGCAGAAAGAATTGCAATAATTCAAAAAGGACACAAAAACAAGCACCACCCATGCATAGTAGAATAACCTTTGATATTAACGTATATTAGTCAACTGAAAGCCGAATGTACGTTTTGATTTTATCACACCCCCCCCTGAAAATCTACAAAACAAAACTTTGTTTATTTCCATTATTAAACTTAATTTTCACGATAAAGGCTTTTAATAAAAAAGTAAGAACTGAATAAGCCTTAATTACACAATTTGACACATTCAACATTTTAGCAAAAAATTACATTTTCAGGAACATTTTGGCCTTTAGCAGTGAGTAAAGCTTGTACCGTATAGAAGACTTAAAAAGCAGATTGGCGGGTTTAACGTGTTTTAAAGCGTCCAACCCTCTCCCTAGCCTTGGACAATGGTGTTAAAGTACAAGATTAAAACAAGCAGTTTAAAAGATAAAATTGAGAATGGAAATGGGGAATATGTCAAAGAGACAACAACCCGACCACAGAGCAGACAACAGCCGAAGGCCAGCAATGGGTCTTCAACGCAGCGAGAAAATCCCGCACCCGGAGGTGGTCCTCAACTGGCCCCTAAATAAAATTGTGTACTAGTTCAGTGAAAATGGACGTCACACTAAACTCCAAAACATATAAACGAACTAAAATTAAAAAAACATACAAGACTAACAAAGGCCAGAGGCTCCTGACTTGGGACAGGCGCAAAAATGCGGCGGGGTTAAACATGTTTTGTGAGATCTCAACCCTCCCCCTATACCTCTTAGCAATGTTGAATAAAGAAACACATAGTAATACGCATAGTAAAACTCAGTTTAAAAGAGCTTGTTTAAAGTCCAATTTGAACTATTTAAAAAGCTATGCTTTTTCAAACTAATAAGCATGAGTTACATCCCTAAAATAAATTTTCAAATATGTATATAAACTTAGTAGTTATTTGCCTTGTTTGTATTACAAAAACAAATATAGAGAAGTGACATATACAATACTTAGTCGGGCGTTCTAAATAACTTCATTATCTACGTAATTTTAGTTATAGAAATCCATTCAGGTTACAGGTTTTGCATGTGATCAGATTATCTGCTAAACAGAAGAATTGGACTAAACAAAAATGATAGGCCCATCTCCTCTTTCTTAATTTTGCACCATGACCATTTATCAAAGAGTCTTTCTATCTTTACAACAATTCACAGTATCACAGTTGCATATGTGTATCTTGATGTTCTGACAAAATTAGGGCGTATTGTTAGATAAGTGACTAAATCCAAAATACCCAATTATCAGTTCACTGATCGAGAATAACAAAATGGCAGGTTGAGATAAAATAAAACTAGTCTTACCACGCCACATGTTCATGTGCCTGTCCCAAGTCAGGAACGTCTTCAGTGTTCGTCTAGTATTTTTTGGGGGGTTCGCCAATTATTGAAGGGCGATTGGTGACCTGTAGTTGGTTGCACCATTTTCCATTGGTCTTTGGTGGAAAGTTATCTGGTTGGTAATCATATTTTTCTTATATTTTTTTTTGGGAGTGGTAGAGGCAAATCTATGGAAATTGGCACTATCCCTTTTCAACTTGAAAAACGTTTGACAAAAATATAAGGAACAAAATAAATCTTAGTATTGTTTGACATATTACGCTAACCACGAATCTCTATGTTGTAATATGTCTATTACAAAGCTGTACTGTAAACAAACATTTTTATTTTTGTTCTTAGGTAGTGCTGTTATACCAGTGTCCCGCTTATGGGGCACTCGCAAGCATGTTTAACACGCTACATTCTGTGTTTGCCTGTCCAAAGTCAGGAGACTGTAATTTAGGGGTTCTCGTTTGTTGCTATATATCATATTTGTTTTTTACGTTTGTTGTTTCGTACATACCTTAGGCTTTTGTTTTTCTTGTTTGAATTGTTTTACATTTTGTCATGTCGGAGTCATAACTCTATATATATGCGGTATGGTTTTTGCTCACTGTTGAAGGCCAACCGGTAACCTACAGTTACTAACATTTACTTCATTTGGTCTCTTTTGGTGATAGTTGTCTCATTTGCAATCATTTCCCATCTTCTCATTTTAATTATGTCAATTTTCCGAATACAGTTGTTTTGTATTGAGGCCATTCAAATCGACTTCGCGACAATTTCTTTTTGCGATTTCCTTACTATGTGGGTGTATCAATATAATGAAAGACATTTCTTGACTTTTCAAGACGAATCATATTTGCGTTATTTTCTAATTCGTGAAAGTCGAGAAAATGAATCACCCACAAAAATTAGTTTGTTTACAGTAAATGTAATTAACACGCATCATGTAGACCTACTGAGAATTCAAACCACAATGTATCTGCCACCAGAAAGCTTACAGTACTATCTGATAATCAACGAAAAAACCAATATGTTTCTAAGCAAAAGAGTCAATGAGAGGCAAAAGATACCAAAAGGATTTTCAAACTCACAAGTCGAAAATACACTGACAATGCCATGACAAAAAAAACGAAAAAAGACGATAAGACAAACAACAGTACATAAAACACAACATGGAAAACTAAAGCCGGAGCAACATTAAACCCTTCCAAAAAACCGGGGGTGATCTAAGGTACTCCCGAAAAGTAAGCCTATCCTGTTCCACATGTGGCACTCGTCGTGGTGGAAATGATCTCATGAGCATATATCCCTAAAGTTGACCAAACTTCTTTTCCAAGCTTCTACCTTTATCATTCTCATCTGAGACATCATGAGTTTTAACATATTTCAATTATATATGCTCAGCAAAAATAATGTTGGTAAGCAATGATGTTCGTCTTCCGATGAAATCAGAAAAGTATGTTTAAAAATTGGTGAAAGATGAAAATCACCTCTGCATCTTAATTGCAAATTGACATTTAAAAGAACAGATATATAGATACATTAACGCTAGGATGAGCATTGTCAGTTATTGGTATATCTTGCTGTGCTTGGAATTTTATGAATAAAGTCTTGCAAAAAGTCTTAATATATTAATTTCTCCTACTCAAACCTTATTAACAGCTATATATTGTATATTCATCAGACACATTTTTTCATTCAAAACTGCATCACCGATTTCAAAACTTTAACTGATGTCATTTTTAATTTGTCATTCAGGTTAAACGTATAAATCTGTGAAAATGGAAGAAACGATCGATGAAATAAAAATTTACTCGATTACTCTAGACAATATTCTTGAAACTGTTGGTGCGTCAGAATACGTCCGTCGAACACAACAGCATAGATCTATCATGCAAGAACTTCTGATATCTGCAACCCGAAATATAACCGGGAGTTCTATTTTGAAGATGTATACATATAAATTTGGTAGTGCAATTGAAGGAACAACAACTCCTGGTCTAAACTCTGATCAAGATTGTCTGATATGCGTTGACCGTCCTCCGGTAATCGAAGAAATTTCCGAAAAGGGTTTGACAGAATACCTTTTAATGATAACTGATGAAAATACACCGCCTGGATACACAAAGCTACAACATGTCGTCAACAATGAACCAATGAATCTTGAAGAGATGGAGGATGAAGATGAAGAAATCGATATCACGGGAAACCGGGTTTTAGGGAATAGATTTCTAATAGAAAGCATGACAAACGACGAGATAAATGGACCTGCCGGAACCACCTTGAAAAGTAAGCAATTGCCCGGCGTCCCAGATCTAGACTTTGTGCCTTCATACAGATGTAGGACATGGCCAAGGCAGGCTTTAAGTTGGTTGTCCAGACAACGCTCATCCGGCTTTCCAAATGCTGAGATGATTGGAAGATTCACTTCTCATGGATGCTTTTTAGTTCCTGTTGGTCAATACGTGAGCCCCGAAAAGCGTTTACAATGGAAACTTTCATTTTCATTTCAGGAACGACAGATAATGTTCAGCATGAGCCCAATACAATTTAAAACTTTCATTTCTTTGAAAATGATCAAAAAGAATTTTATAAAAGACAGAGTACCTCCAAAATCGCTGACGTCGTACCATTGTAAAACGTGCATGTTCTATATTATGGAAACCTCTCCTTCTAACATATGGACGTCAGACAATCTGGTTCAGTGTATCAGTATGTGCTTACAAAAGCTTCTTCAGTGGTTTGAAAATGGCTTCATTCCAAGTTACTTCATTCCGGAGGAAAACCTTTGGAAAGGAAATACTGATACACGTGAAACAATTGTTGATATTTTGGGATCACTCCTAGAAACTTCACCAATATATCTTACAGAGATCAAGTGTGATTCTGTCGGGATATTCTTACAAAACGCCTTACCATCAAGCGGAATTTCCAAAGTCATCGACAATATTTCTGCAATTCAGGCCGATTTAGAACAATCTCAACGTGAATTGGACAGATTCATCTACAAATCCCATATGTGGACACTTGATTATATAATCAAATGTGCAAAGGAATTAATTATATTTGCGGCAGATGAAGAGCTAGATAAATGTATCACTTTACACAATGCAATTATTCAGCGAATGTGTATGGACTCCGATCCAAGATTAGTGCTTGAGCATACCAGTTTAGATAGACGAATGGCCTCTGCATACATCCTCCCGTTTTTACAAACAAGCCTTGGATCTCAGCTAAGTATGAAATATCTACACACACACAATAATACAGAGAAAGAACATCTTTGGAATGAATCGATGAAATTCCTTACAAAAGGTATAGAATCTGATTCCATGTCCGGGCAATTGAAACTTGCAACCATTTTATTTATGATCGATAGAACCGAAGATTCCAAAGAAATGTTAGATAGAATTGACGAAACGTTTGACCCTAAATTTTTTAATACACATTGTGGATGCAGCAAGGAGTCTGATTATGTCTGTGTAGCTCTTAGAAACAGTATCAGAGAGGAAAAACTGTCTACGCTCGAGATTCTTAGAAAATATACTGGTGTTTGTGTTTGTTTTTTGAGAACGGAAAAAGATATCGTACCAAAACATCTCCACTACGAAATGTTTCGATCCGTCTTTAGTGAGGTTAGTAATTTGGTATACATAATATTCTCCGTCTCTTTCCCACACACACATTCATATTTTAATAACAGATGCTCAATTCACTAGCATTTTAACTATAAAGTCTTATTTTACTAGAACTTACGATGATCTGAATTGTAAATCTATAAATGTCGTCTACGGATTAGAGTGTAACCTTTGCGGATTGGTTTACGTCGGTGAAACGAAAGGAAGGCTAAACAAACGTATGTGCGGTCATAGATCAGATATCAACCTCAATGCAAACGATATTCTGTACCATCATTTTAATCGGCCTGATCATTCCATCGATTCTATGACAGTTCGTATTATCGAAAAAATATACCACAAGACTAACAATCCTCAACTTGCAACGCCTCTCCGTAGACAAAAAGTGGACTACTGGATTCGACAATTGGGAACTGCGACACCATATGGTTGCAATGACAAAATTGATGGTATAGGTATTCTATCTAGTCGTTCCTGTAGCTCGGTGAATGTGATGAATATTTCAACTCTACTCCTCGACGTAGACGCAGTCATGGTCATCGTCCTTATACATCATCTACTTTTCATGATGTTTCTATTAATGACTTGCTGCCATTTATACAAAAGCCGTTAGGTATTCATCACATTCTCACGAAACTGTATTCATTATCCCTTTCATAACTTCATTCTCTGTTCAATTTATGTTTGGAAACCACTGTTACAAACCCTCATTCAAACCAATAAAAACTTACAGCTATCATTTCGGATATTGCAAGTCACAGACTTTTCAAACCAGTTCGCATTGGAAAAGATGAAAAAGAGAAAAGATCTTTTCTTAAACTTTCCTTTGCCAACAAAGGTCTCGATGGCGTCAACTTAGGCAATATCCTTCATCATAAATTAGTTCAGTCGAAAATACCTCCTTATTTTAAAGATCAGTATGTACCAATAATTTCTTATACCTATACCAAACCAATTGCAACAAAAATTTTCAATTACAAACACGTTTTGCAGGATCTCAACGATGACGACTTCAAGTCTAAACCTCCTGATTGCACCTGTGCTAGTTCCCAATTCACATATAATACGGCTGGCCACGTTATTACCGGAGACCTCAACATTGTCAATAACACTTACCTGCGAAATTTGTTATCCAAAGGTCCGAAATATCGTGAGCCTAAATCCATCAATTCGAAATACAACTTCTATATACTGATGGATTCAGTCGAGGATTATGCCAGGCAATGGACTAAACGCGAGAAAGAAGACGAAGATACTCTTTCCGAATGGATTAAGGCTGTGAGGTCGTTGATACAAATCCGAATTAAGAAACTAAATGGGTCTATCAATACCCACGCTACGTCAATTTTTAAAGGCCCAAATGTTGCAAAACACTTGTCCTACCTCCATGACAAATATGTTGTTGTCCCAGCAGATAAAGCCCCAAACAACATCGTTTTTGTGTAAATATCATTACATAAACTGCTTGATAAATGAATTAGGTATTGACAATTCATTTGGAAACTCAACGTATACCCTCACGACACTTACCATAGAGGAAATCCTAGATATTCATAGGTCTGTTCTATGTTCCTTTGGAATTTCAACCAAAGATGAAGAACTGGATCTTCCATCACTGTATTGGATACCTAAACTACATAAGTGTCCTTACAAACAACGGTATATTGCTGGGTCTTCCAAGTGCTCCACGAAACCTCTTTCTAAATTATTAACATCTATTTTATCAGCAATCAAAGCCGGGCTCCAAAGTTAATGTGAAACTGCCTATTGTAGAGATGGCGTGAATCAGATGTGGATACTAAAAAATTCCAAAGATCCTTTAGAGTACATACAATCTAAGACTCTCTCATCTTGCAATAGTATTAAAACATTTGACTTTTCTACACTTTACACAAGTATTCCCCATTCCAAACTAAAAGACAAATTGAAAGAGTTGGTATTACTTTGTTTCATTAAGTAGAATGACGAACGTAGATACAAGTATCTTGTCTTGGGGAGGTATAAATCCTACTTTGTAAAGAATCACTCTGATTCAAACAAAAATTCTCTGAAACTGACATTATCAAGATGCTTGATTTCTTGATTGACAACATATTTGTTACGTTTGGAGGACGTGTTTTTCAACAGACTGTCGGAATTCCAATGGGATATAATTGTGCCCCTCTTCTTGCCGACTTGTTTCTTTATTATTATGAGTCTGACTTCATACAGGAATTTCTTAGGAAGAAAGATAAGAAGTTAGCAATATCCTTTAACTTTACATTCCGCTATATAGATGATGTTCTCTCACTAAATAATACAAAATTTGGTGACTATGTTGAACGAATCTATCTCATCGAACTAGAGATAAAGGATACTACAGATACAGTTAAGTCTGCCTCATATCTTGACTTACATCTAGAAATTGACAATGAGGGTCGGTTGAAAACAAAACTTTACGACAAAAGAGATGTTTCGGCTTCCCAATTGTGAACTTTCCATTTCTATGTAGCAACATTCTAGCAGCGCCTGCATACGGAGTATATATCTCCAAATTGATTCCCGGGATTGTATTTCCTATCATGATTTCCTTGATAGAGGATTGCTGCTCACAAGGAAGCTATTAAACCAAGAGTTCCAAATGGTGAAGTCGAAATCATCCCTTCGTAAATTTTACGGATGCCATCACGAGTTGGTTGACCGTTATGGAATAACCGTTTCACAGATGATATCGGATATGTTCCTTATGTCGTAACTACAATACCCATACCTTTTCACGAATGTGACCTAACGAATTAGACTATTTACCGGATTTGTTATAACATAAGCAACACGACGGGTGCCACATGTGGAGCAGGATCTGCTTACCCTTCCGGAGCACCTGAGATCACCCCCAGTTTTTGGTGGGGTTCGTGTTGCTTAGTCTTTAGTTTTCTATGTTGTGTCATCTGTACTATTATTTGTCTGTTTGTCTTTTTATTTTTGGCCATGGCGTTATCTGTTTGTTTTCTATCTATGAGTTTGACTGTCCCTCTGGTATCTTTCGTCCCTCTTTCATAATTATGCAGGCATGTTTGTCCAATTCTTTAAGTGAACTTAAAGCTACATATACATATTGACACTTGAACAAAAGACCTGTTATACCAATGTAAAGTTTTGTACACAGAAAGAAAAACCATTTCAAAGCACCACTTTTCTTTCCTCGAAATCACCTATACCAAGTCAGGACTATACAATTCTCAATTGTTTTAAAAAGAAACATTTACCAAATTCTATATACCAGCTAGTTAAAGTTAACCCCGGTTTTTGGTGGGGTTCGTGTTGCTCAGTTTCGTTTTTGTTTCTGGGTTGTATTTTATATGCTGTTTTTTTTTCTTATTTTCTTTTGCTCGTTTTTCGTTTTTTTTTGTCATGGCGTTGTCAGCTTGTCATCGATCTATATCAAATCTACTATTTAGCTCTTTCATTGGTTCAGAGATAATTTAACTTACTTAAATCACAGACACTACTCCAAACAGAGGAAATATATGTACTTGTACTCCATAAAAAATAAGCAGTTAATTAAGCTAGCCAGTTATTAAGTACTCGTGTTAAATAAAAGACTGACAAATAAGATAATGAAAAACTCCTCTACGGTTGACCTTATAAAATAAGAAGATGTGGTATAATTTATAATAAGCCAACTATCCACAAAGTACCAAATGACAAGGATGTAAACAAATTCATGTCACCCTTGACTCACTCTGAATGAATTGATACCTACTAGTATATATATAATATCATATATATAAAGGATGAACAGACGGGCGCATAAACTGAATCACTAACCGAAAGGTTGTACATTCACCATAGGAACCACAATATGAAAATAGAAGTCATTTGTAATGTAATTTAAAATTGATTTTTTAAATGGATGGACACATTTTATTTAAGTGCAAACATATATGTACTTAATCGTTTTTTTTCTTTTGTCAATTTACAGACACCCAGAAAACCATACGTTGACGACTGGTTTGACAGCGCAGCCGTAGACTCTGATATATTCCTGTTTTACATGTTATTCAGGGTTAATCAGAAGCTTGGTAATTATAAAGCAATGACAATATCAAAACTTTCTTTGCTTATGGAAATGGAACGAAATGTTAATCTTACTCATGTTGATACGGCACAAAATCTGCTTGGCTGTCTGTTCAAGGAAAGTGGAGATCTTGATTTGGCATGGCAATGCTTTATGGCGTCATGGGCCTTTAGACCTGACCATAATGCTGCAAAATGGCACATGGCAATCATGTTGTATGAGGGAATAACATGTCTAGGTCTTTGTGATGAAACCAAAATTCAAGGAACAGAAGAAAGAAATGAGCCTGAAGATGAATTCGAACTAATTTATAGTCGATTATGATGATTAATTTTAAATGAAATAACTGGAAGTTAGTATATCTATAAATCCGTCGTCCTGAATATGCATGAAACAGTTGCCACAGAACTAAAAGCAAACAAAACTCATCCATTTTATAAATCCATAGCCAGGAGTTATGCTTATTGATTATTGAAAAATATAACAATAAAGTATTTCCATTAATCTTATTGTCTTATATTTTTTGTAAACAATATTAAAGGATGAGACACGTTACCAATTCAGAACGTTTAACACATGTTTAACAGTAGCAAACGTTTGAGAACACTGATGGTTAAAAAGATTCTTTTAAAACTATGATACAATTACACAAAAACATTGTATGTCTGACTGATGTTTTTAAGAAAAGCCAAATTAAACTAATTAAACCAGAAAATCACTTCAAATAATACACCAACCACTAGCAAATTAAGATCATTTCATAATAAAAATACAACAAACATTTCAACAAATTTATACAAGGTCATGCGACGTGAAACATATTTTTTGTACTTTAAAATGCTGGACAATTTTCAATCTGAAAACACTTTATGATTGCCAAAGACACAACTGTCCAGCAGAGTTCAAATATCAGGGATATAAGCAATTATAGGTCACCGTAAGGCCTTCGACATTAAGGGAAAATCCATACAGTATAGTCAACTATAAAATGCCCCAACATTAAAATTGTTGAACAATTCATTTTGGAAGGTTTAAAGGTATTTTTTGTCGTGTGTGTCTAGGATTGCAAGTTGTGGATACTAGGTATTGTTTTGAGTCCGTTGGTATATAATAAATATCGATCTGTATTTTTTCCTTTGACCTTCACAATAAGTATATCTAAACACGGAAGTTGATTTTGACGTGATTCTATTGTATATTTGATTTTTGTATTAAAGTTATTTACAAGGAAAAAAGCTAAAGCTTCCTTTATATTATGGAGTTTACACATTATTTACGACATCATGAGGACCTTTGTGTCATTTGCAATCATAACATATACAACTGATAAACAACACTACTTAGTGTCAGCTAATGCAGTAAGTGTTTTTATTTTTTGACAGACATAGTAACAGTCCATAAAAAGGTCATCGACGACAGATCGTGAAACAATTCAAAAATAAAAAGCAAAGAACAGATTTATACTAAAACAAATAATCAAAAGCCACTATGGCATACAGCAACAAGCACAACATCTGGCTTAGCTAAGTAAAGGGAAAAAACATTTACAAAATGACAATAAACAGAAAGTAACGATCTAGGTTTACTCTAAGCTACTGAAAGCTCTTTTAACGACCAAAATCAGGTTATTAACCAACTTTCGCCTGATAAAATATGAATCTGTCAACCTTCGACAGATATATAAAGACATCATAAGCAATCCTGGGAAAAACAATATCTTATGATATGTCAAAATATGAGTTTTTACATCAAAACAAGATAATATAATGCGATGGTTTTTATCCTATCGAAACGACATTTAATGTATATACAAAGAAAATTACATAACTTTTTAAAATTTTTTCCTGCAAAAGGTTAATTGAAATTGGTTCATTGATTGATTTAGATTAAAGGAGATAAGGAAATGTAAACGATGTACCGATGGACGCAACCCAAACAACATGTTTACGTTGGCACAATATTGGCCCAACGCCCAATGAATAAGTGCAAAGTGGTCCTATGTTGGCCAAACGTGATGACTGAACGTTGGACCAACGTTGTAAATAGAGATTCTCTTATAATTGTGGTCTGTTATCTACTTCTTGCATTAATAGATATTTCTCGTATCACACTTCACGGAGTGTGATACGAAAAAGTGATACGAAAACTGCGTTAATTTTGATTGGATCATCCAGCATCAGAAGACGACATTACGACATTTATTTTGGATATTCTTTAGGTCATTGATAACTGACGATGTACATTTCGTCCATGGCAACGGACATATGTGAGTTCTTCAATAATATACAAATCACACACTTTTAACTTGTGAATCTTCTTTTAATAAAATTTTATTACATTCTGAAACGTACAAAAATATTTAAAATGTTTGATGTTAAAGTTTAACACCGGAAAAGGACATATGACGTCATACTGGTATGTGCAAAGGTCTAGATCAAGGATCCGCGGATTTTTTTATTTTTTTTTTTTATTTAACACAATGAGAGTGTTGATCATAAGAGAAATAGGTTTAACAACTCCTGAAAATTGGATATTGCTTGATATCAACTCTCGTTATATAATTTAAATAGTAATAATAAACTCGCCGAATGGTCATTTATTATTATATTGAAATTAAAAGAAGGGCGAAAGATACCAAGCTCATAAATCGAAAAAAAAACTGACAACGCCATGGCTAAAAAAGAAAAAAAGACAAACAGACAAACAATAGTACACAAAACAAAACATAGAAAACTAAAGACTATGCAACACGAACCCCACCAAAAACTGGGGGTGATCTCAGGTGCTCCGGAAGGGAAAGCAGATCCTGCTCCACATGTTGCACCGGCCGTGTTGCTCTTGTTAGTACAAACCCGGTAAATAGTCTAATTCGGTAGGTTACATTCGTGAAAAGAGAAAGGGATTGTATTTACGACATTAGGAAACGGATATTCCATTACGGTCAACCAACTCGTGATGGCGTCCTGAAAATTTACGAAGGGATGATTTCGACTTCACCATTTGGAACTCTTGGTTTAATAGCTTCCTAATGAGCAGCATTCCTCTAGCAAGCGGGGAATTATCCTATCAATTATAAATAACTCAAGTTGATATGAAGCGATATCCAATCTTACTCGTTATGAAACCTATAAATATCGTATGGGTTTTTCAATATCACACCTGTATCAACCAGAGACACCAATATAACCCCAAGAGCTCTGCTCGAAGGATTACAATGGTTGAGGGTTAACACGGAGTATGATATTGAAAAGTCATATTATATACTCTTTATTATATACATGTACCCCAAGAACAACTAATCGTGATGGGTGGTTTTTTTTTCACGAGACATGACGTTATACATATCAGGGGTTTTATAAAGCCTTTGTACATAACCTTGACTGATATTCATTACGCGACGTTATTCAGATTATAAGAATTTGATAAAGCGTTTGCAACTGTGACTGATATCGATTTCATCACGGATGGCTGATACAGCAATCATTGTCATTAAGTGTATAACACTTACTTGTATTAGTTACTAAGTATGTAATAAGGTTATTTATGATATACTTATAAAAAATAATGGTATAATTGTACCCCTTGATAAAACTAATTTGTACATATATTTATTCATCAAATTTGAAGAATTGTCTTAACCGTGTGATTTTAGAGATAACTGTATTGTATTTGAAGCTTTGCGGACGTCCATCGGTAGTTTTACTGTCGCAAATTTAGTTTCCCTAGCGACGCGTAGCGGAGACAGGTAAACGGATATTTGCGACAGTAAAACTACCGATGGACGTCCGCAAAGCTTCAAATACAATACAGTTATCTCTATTCTAATGCAAAATAACCAAATCATTCAATTTTAATCATTATTTCAGAGTAAAATTTTCATTGAACGAAAATACCCCGAAATGATGTTATCTTCTTTGGCGCCATAACTAGGTGACATCATAGGGATGCTTCCGGCATCAAACGTAAACACCGGGCGTTATCTGGCTTCTTATTCGCTTCAAAATGTAATAAAATTTGATAAAAAGAATATTTCTAGGTGCAAAATGTGAGTTTTTTTGCTTATTATTGGAGAAATTACATGTGAATACATTCCGGAATTCAAAATGTCTGCTTCCTTAGTTACAGACAGGGAGCTAGAGAATCTTACGCTTATTGTCATCTAATCAGAAACATTGATACAAAATAATTGCATTAGAAATGACTTTCGTTATCAACTGCTTCCGGTTATTATCGCATGCTTTTTTGTAACGTTACCGCACATGCATTTCGACGCCACTCGGCAGATTCCGGAAAATACATCTCAATGGTACGTTTTGAGTGAAAAACATAACAAAAGAGGATAAAAATAATTAATTAGGAAACAGGAAAATGTATTATTAAAAAAAGCATAAGAAATAATACAATAAATGCATTTTTCAAAGTTTTAACAATAGTTATTGTCTGTATGTATATGATAAAAAGAACATAACATGTCATTTTTCATATCAGACCCCTTATCAGCCCATGGTCAAAATCATCTCTCGGGCCTGTCGGCTCTTGGGCTGATATCATGACCTAGGACTGATAAGGGGTCAGATATGAAAAATGCCATGTTATAATTTATATATAAACAATGATGGAATAATACAGCCGATATTGAACAAACGTTGGGCCAACGAAGTGGTGATAAATAACTCAAATGTGTCTATATAGCGCATCTGCTGCAAAAGTTAATTCGACATTTACTCACTTTACAAGTGATTACAGTAATCAAATTTGTCTGTGTATTTCTTTCATTATCATTCTAGAAACTTTTATTCTTTAAATTTGATAATCAAAAGTAACTCGTTTTCGTTTTACATTTACACTTACCTAATTGAGAGTGGTTGTCGTACAGCATAAAATCTATATAAAAAAGATCCAACATCCAATAGATTTAGTGTTAAGACGTCATCAACAGTAAGAGAAAAACTTCACATTATGCAATGCCAAATAATATGCATCGACAGAGTGAGGGACCGGGAATATTCATAGGAAAAATAGCAATAACATTTATTTGGGTTTTAATTTATAGATAACAAAATCAAATTTTATACCGTTAAAACAATATTTAAAAATCTAATCACAGTAATCAATTTTTAAACCTTTAGAATCAATTTATTAAAAGGTTCGATAAGTTTAACCAGATCGTTTCTAAATTTACGGGCTCGATAAAAACATCACCTTAAAATTTAAGATGCGCTACTGCATCTTTGAAAGAATTTAATAAAGGTTTAAATTAATTGGTGGAAACGGAAACCTAGACTTCATGATTAACCAGTTATACATAGATTACGCTTAGTAAATCCAAAACGTTACTACAGACTTTTGCATAGCAAATGAATTGAGATATTTAAAACAAATACCGTAAGTGGGAACAAATGGAAAATCACCGTAAAAAAAGAAAATTATCAATGTGGAAAACATCTTCCCTTTAGTCGTCACTTTTTGTGAAGAGGTTCCTGTGTGGAACCTAAATAACGTAA